CCCCCCCCCCCCCACTTTCGTCGTTCCTTCGTTCGCGCGATTCTCTTTCGCTTATGAAAATTTCCGCGTTTTACGCAACGAACGAACGAGAGAAAGACACGGCAAGAAGTGTAATAATAAGATCAACAAAGAAAGAAAAAAAAAAAGAGAGAGAGAAAAAACAACAGCGCGAACAACCACCACGATTATATCGTCGTCGTCGTCGTCATTTCGTTCGTCTCACGGTTTTTATTTTTTTTTTTTCGGCGCGCTCGCGCCCTCTTCTTTCCTTTTTTATACACGCGCGTTTTTATAATAAGTAGATCTTTTTCTTCTTTCGTTAATAATAAATTTAATGAGTCGTTTAACGTGACGCCTCACGACGCGATTCCCCCGCTCATTCTTTTTTGTTTTCCTCTTTAGTACTGCATATATCGGAGAGAGTATCGATATAATTGCGGTTCCTCAATATAATATAATATACCTTCCTAAAATATACGATCAAATCACTGCCGCGAGCAGCAATTCCGAGGCACTACGAACAGGCCACAGAGAATATGGCCGCACAATTATCATCTTCAGATCTCTGTGTCTAAATGATAAAAGACTAACTGTAGAACGCCTAATACGTACGTAATCGTTAATTATACTTACGCATCTCGTCGTCTATAGACTCATTATGTAATGTACAATAATTAGAGAGATCACACGTCTTAATATAGAAATTTTAAAAGATTATTCTCTAGTACGTTGAAACCGTCCTCCTCCTCCTTCTCCCCCTCTTTCTCATCTTCATCCTCCTTCCCCACTTCTCCTCATATATATATTCTTCGTCTTTTTCTCCTCATTTAAGTATTGCCACAAAAGTGATTTCCTTCCTCCATTTCCCTTCCTCCTCCTCTCTCTTTTCTCTTCTCCTCTTTCGAAAAGCGACGATGATAATTTCTCCGAAAGATGTGAACGGACCCCCCACCGCGCACACGGGCGGGGTCCTTCGAAGTCTTTTCTTTACTTTGAGCTACGCTATCGGCTACCCTACTATTTTTTTTTAACGCTAACTTCTACGGTGTCTCAGCCTTCTTCCACGTTCCCTCCACTTTTCGTACGCTCTTACCTAATGTATTTTTTTTATCAGCACCAATCTGATTTTTAAAACCGATTCAAAATATCGTCATATAGTTAGAATAATATAACCTGTCGTATAAATATACATTCAAATATTACTATAGTATACAAGAGTCGCATCTCCCCTTTCGCGCTACGTCGCGGTACACCGGTCGTACTTGACGCGAATCTACCGAAAAGCTATGGCTCGGCGCAGGCGGGGAGGATACGTCGTCCTCGTAAATCCTACCTATAATTTCTCGTATCTCTTCCTCTTTTTCCATATCTCGTCGCATCTTTCTGCCCCCCCCCCCCCCNCCCCCCCTCCCTTCCCAACCCAACCCCTCTCATTCCACCCCTTGGATTCTCTTCCTCTTACTCGCCCACTCAGTCATACACATTTCTCTTTTTCCCGCGTCATTCACGCCCAGCCTCATTCGCACGCACTCGCATACTTCACCTTTCGCTGTCGCTTCCCTCTCTTCCTTTTCTTCTTCCCCTTCTTCATCGTCTTCACCATCATCATCTTCTTCTTCTTCGCCGTCTTCTTCCTCTTCTTTGTTTAGAGCGAACGACTTTACATTATTTACAGGCATTCTCCTCATGGTCGTGTAAGCGCGTTCCCCTCGGGGGAGCAGCATATTTCTTTCTTTCTTTCTCCCTCCCTCTTCCTTTCTCTCTCACTCTCTACTTCCTTTCACACACACACACACACACACACACACACACACACACACACTTGCTCTCTTTCTAACTCTCCCTCTCTATCTCTCCCACAAATCCTTTAAAACATAGGCAAGTTAAATATTGTATCACAATCGTTTTAGTCTGGTCGAAATCGAACATCTTCAACCCGTTTGGCGATACGCGTTTTGAACGGTGAGCGACGGCGCCCCGGATGGCGCGTGCACCACCCCGCGAAAGATAAGCGGATTCGAAGGAATTCACAGGAACTTACCCCGCGAGTCCACGTCTTCCTACTCCTCCTCATCTTCCCCCCGATTGCCTCGAACGTTGGGACGTTCGTCTCGCTCGCGAGAGGAGTTCCTATCGATTTCCCCGATGTTCGCCTACTTCTCGCGGGGGGGGGGGGGGGGNNNNCGAGCCCCGAACCCTCATGCTGTTCGCTTGTCCACGAAAGAAACGCGGAAAGGGGGGTACGTGTGTCGTAATCGATCAGTGTATATAAAAAATAACAAGTACAGGGGAATAGACGAGACTTTTCGTTGGTTACTTTACCTTGGTTCCGGCTCTAGCGAGAAGAAGCTCGACGGTGAGCGACGGCGCGCTTATCGCTCTCTCCCTCTCTTTTTCCCAGCGTCCTTCGCGCGAGAGACCGAGGACTGGTCGTTGAGCGAGCAGGAAGGTGCGTGATCGCGAGAATCGGGTATTTCGTGGGTCGGCGGCCACACCGTTGCGAACGATCGATCCTGAAATAACCCTGAAGGGGCGGAGAGAACTGCCGATCGCACGTGGAGAGCAACGAGACGCGCGATCGGTCGATCGGAAAAGAAAGGGAAAAAAGAAGACGCGTCGTCGCGCGCGAACCTGAGAGAGAGTGACAATTCGATCCTCATCGCGACGAGAGCAGAGAGCCGGCCGTCATCCCCTCGCTTCCCCGAGCGACGCGAAAAGCCGAGACGCCAACTTGGTCCTGGGGGAGGCGTCCGTCGCGCGGTCGACCTCTTCGAAATCGCTCGTCGGAAGAAGAGGTCGACCGTCTTCACCGTCGAGCTGTCGGGGCTAGCTGGCGACGCGCTCCGAGGCTCCGTCCAGCAATGGAACAAGAAGTGCGAGCGAGTTGCGAAAGAACGACGGAAACCAAGAAGACTCTAGTAAATGCACGACAAATGTCACGGGTAGTGTTGCTGGATCGGCTGCTGGCCGGCGCACCGGGGCGAGGAGGACGCTGCGGCGGCTGCGGCGGCGTTCGACGCGGCGTTGGCGGCCTCGAGCGCGGGAGCGAAGCAGCGCTGAAACCTCAGCGCGGAGATTCCTGCTTGCTAGTAGGCGGCAGGATGGACGGTTAGTCACTGCGGCGGCAGACCGGTCGGCGGCTTGAACTCGCCGGTCACGGAGACGCCGTTCGCTTGGCCGGGGAACTGGGCGCTCGAGACCGGCGGCTGATGGTTGAACGCGGGCGCGTAGCACTGCGGGAAATACAGCTCGGGCTTGACCACCGTGGGCGTGAGGCCGCGCGGCACCGTCACCGGGCCGAGGCTGACCGGCGTGCCGGGCGGCTTGGTGTCGCCGCTCGAGTTCCGGCGCACCTTCGCCGCGTGCGGGTTCATGTGGTTGTCGATGTGCTTCTTCACCTCGGGCTCGGTGGCGAAGCGCCGCCTGCAGTTCGGCATCGGGCAGCAGAACGGCCGGTCGCCCTGGTGGGTGCGCGTGTGCTGGTCCAGGATCGCCTTCTGACGGAAGTCCTTGCCGCACTGCTGGCACTTGTACGGCTTCTCGCCGGTGTGGATGCGCAGATGCTGGTTGAGGATCGTGCGCTGGCGGAAGTTGCGGCCGCAGTACATGCAGCCGTACGGCTTCTCGTTCGTGTGGATGCGCAGGTGCTGCGTGAGGTGGGACTGCTGCCGGAACCGTTTGCCGCACTCCGGACACGGGTACGGACGGGACTCGATGTGTATGCAGCCGTGCTGCAGCAGCGTCGACTTCTGCTTGAACTCCTTCTGGCAGATCGGGCAGCGCACGTAGAGCGGCATGCCGGCCGAGCGCCCGTGCTGTATCACGTCGGGCAGGCAGCTCTTCGTGCCGCCCTGCTGCTTGATGTACTGGAGCGCGCCGAAGCTGCCGGTGCCGGCCGCGCCGAACACCGCGTGGTTGCCGCCCTTCGGGTCCTTGAAGTAAGCCGGGTACTGCATCGAGTTGGCGTCCGGCGCCGGACTGAACGCGCCCGACTGCGTGTCCGTGTCGCCGAAGGTCGACGCGACCTCCTCCTTCCCCTCCTCGGGAGGGAAGGGCACGTCCTGCGGCCAGAGCGTCGGCGTCATCCCATTCTTGAAGATCAGGTGCGGGCTCACGTCTGTAACGAAAGCGGTTCACGGTTCATCGGCGGTATTCCACGGCGGACGGAAGTGAGAGGAACGTTAGTAGTAACCCGGACTACGCGGCTCGGTCACGCGGAGGTGAGAGATCTTCCAACTACGCTCGAGTGCAGGCGGAGATGGGGGAGAGAGAGAGATAGAGAGAGACAGAGAGAACACCCAGGCGACGTGAACGAAAGATCGGTCCGAGAAAGGAAGAAAGAGAGAGAGAGAGAGAGAACCGACACCTCTTCCTCGGACAATCTTCGCGCCGTCTGGGAAGCTACCGTAAGCCCAATTTACCGCGATCTCGTTTTAGAAAGAGAGTTGTTAGGGGTAGCAGCGGATGTACGCGAGAAGAAAGCAGTAACCGGCGGGTAGGTCCGAGCGAACGGGGAATCGCGACGAGACACGCGAGAGATTAGAGGTTACTCGGACGGACCGTGGTTACAGAGGTGGTTACAAAGGTCGGATGAGATGAGAGAGAGAGAGAGAGAGGGGCCATGTGGAAGATCAGGAGAGGCTGCTTTATCTCACAGCTCGCCAGCGCTCTGGTCGCGTCCAACTCCAACCGTTCTTACCCTTCGGTTGGCCTTGACGGCAACGAGAGGTCCAACGGACCGTCTCCGGCGTTCGCGGGGTCTTCCGCGTGGCTGCTGAGGGGGGCAACGGACCAATGGCGAATTTTTACCCGAGAGAAGCGCGTTCCGACTCTCCTCTCTCTTTCTTCTTCTCGTGCTCTAAATCCGCCATTGGATGGATGTGAGAGGTGACGGCGAATCGACGAATCGAGTTAGTATGCGGGATATGGTTATTGGTAACACCGCCGGCGGTTGAACGAACGACGGCAAAGAATCGCAAGAGACGACGTCAGCGAATGGCTGATGATACACATGGCCGGCGGTAAACGGCCACGGTGCGACGGTGGGTGAATGCACAGTAGTAGTAGTAGTAACAGTGAGAGAGAGAAAGAGAGATAGATAGATGATAGATAGATAGATAGAGAGAGAGAGAGAGAGAGAAACCGGTGGGTAGGTCAGTGTGTGGTTGTGGTGGACGTCCTCTGGGGGAGTCTGGGAGGCAGAGAGAAATGCTCGCCTTGGTGTGTGCGGACGTGCTGATTCAGGATCGCCTTCTGACGGAAGTGTTTTCCGCACTCCGGACATTGGTATGGCTTCTCACCCGAGTGGATGCGCAGATGCTGGTTGAGGATCGCACGCTGCCGGAACGTACGCTCGCAGTACACGCAAGCGTACGGCTTCTCGTTAGCGTGTATGCGCAGGTGCTGCGTCAGATGCGATTGTTGCCGGAACCGCTTGCCGCACTCCGGACACCCGTACGGTCGGCTGTCCGTGTGGATCCGCTCGTGCTGCAGCAGAGTCGACTTCTGCTTAAAATCTTTGCCGCACGTCAAGCACTTGAACAGACGCAGGTCGCTGTTGCCGGACTTGCTGGACTTGCCGCTCTGCTGCACGATGTCGGGCAGCCCGGTCGCGAGGTTCGGCGCGCCCGGGCTCGCGTACTGATGCGCGTCCAGGCCGGGTCCGCCGTCCCCCTGGCCGAGGGACGTCAGCATCACCCCGGGTTGCTTGAGATAGTGCAGCGCGGAGAAGCCGCCGGGGGTGAGCATGTGCGGCGGCACGGACGGCGAGGGGTGCGGCCTGGCCTCTTTGAAGTAGTGCTGCGGATACTGTTGCAGCTCACCGGCGCCGGGGAAGCAGTCGCTGCGGTCCACCTCGTGCGGTGTCAGTTGTTGCTGCGGCGAGTGGTCTTGCTGCTGCGTCTGTTGTTGCTGCTGCTGCTGCTGCTGTTGTACTTGCTGCTGCTGCTGTTGTTGCTGCTGCTGCTGTTGGACCTGTTGTTGCGTTTGCTGTTGCTGCTGTTGTTGCTGCTGCTGCTGCTGGGACGTGGTCTGACTCGACTGTATGTCGTCATCGGGTGGAGTCAAGGACTGAGGCTCGGGAGGCGCCGAGGGATACGGTGAGGGCACGGGTGAGGCTAACGAGGGCGGTGGACCGTTTTCGCCCTCGACCGGAGGACCACAGGCCTGCTGCGGGCTTCCCGACGAGGTGGAACCCTGTTGCTGCTGCTGTTGCTGCTGCTGCGGGTACAGTCCGCCGTCCTGGAGAGATCCCGGCCCCGGGCCCCACTGACCCTGGGGTCTCTCCATGTTATCTTTGTACAGTACGTAGGGCGCGCCAGTATCTGTAAGCAGAGAATGCAGACGAGCGTTCGCGGTTACAGGGGAACGCTGCAGTTCGGCGATATGACGGAGGCAGGGAGGGAGGGGAAGGAAGAGAAAGAAAGAAAGAGAGAGAGAGAGAGAAAGAGAGAGAAAGAGAGAAAGAGAGAGAGAGAGAGAGAGAGCACGATTTACGCGCGATGACCCTGAAACAAGTCGGGCTCTCCCAGACGTATTCGCCGGTCGGGCCTGATCAAGGACAGATTCGCTGCGAAACCGCGCGGAGAGAGGATCCGCGCGAACGGGAAAGGGAGGAGGAAACCAACACACACAGCGGGGAAACACGCCCTGACGCGCGTCGCGCATCTCCGTGATCTCTGAAATCCTCCGATCCTCCGCGATCCCCCCGGTCGGATTCTAGAATGCGCGTCCCAGAATATCGGATCGTACCGCGTTCCCGGTCACGCATGATCGAACACGTCCGGTTCACGCTTCACAAGTTCAACCGCTGTTATGCAGGTCGAATCTATACGTACTACCGCGCGCCGATAATTTATGACGGTGTTAAAAGATAAACACGCGACACGCAGCGCAGGAATCACGTGCGCTCGTTTCCTCCGACGTGCGTATCCTCTCTCGGGGCCCTGGGGAGCTTTCTGTCCTTGCGCGACTCGACGAGAGAGAGAGAGACAGCGCGAACTCTTGTACGGTCGAATGCCGCACGCGCTCGTTGCGACCCAGTATTTTTATTTCTTTATTCTTTTTTTTATTTCTCGCATCCCGTTATTTCTCTAAAATATTCGTTCCCGCGCGAGAGAGGGGCAGGGAGGGAGGGGAAAAGAGAGAGAGAGAGAGAGAGAGAGAGAGAGAGAGAGAGAGAGAGAGAGAGAGAGAAAGAGAGAGAGGTTGGGAGAGGGGCGGCTGCGATTACAATTAATCGAAAATGAGAGGCGAAACGCGCGGGAGAAAGTAATCATATCGCGCCGAGTTTTTAATTAGACTCCGCCACGCTATTATTTAAGATGTGTGTCTCGGCCAATCGGAATTATCGCGCGGGGCAATTACGTCAGGGGAGCGGAGAGGGGGGAATAAGATGGCTTAAAGCTTCGCGCGATTACGGGATTTACGTTATGCAATATTGTTGAGGCATTCCTCCTCTTATCGGGCTAATTACCTTCGGCCTTCGTTCTCTTTTATTTGCCGGGCGGATTCGTCACTCAATTTGCATTTCGCGCGGCCCGTTTCAAGCGACTTTCGCGTCTGCAAGTCGGATGACTCACTCTCGATACGACGACGACGATTGTTTCCTCGCGAGGAGGTACTTCAACGGCCGGCAACTCCGTCGCCCGGCAGTCACGAGCCCGAAAAGTGAGGAAAAAAGTAGAGGAGGACAAAAGTTTAAATATATACATGGCGCGGAGAAGGAACGCGAGAAGAGGGAGCGTCGAATGCGCCGCACGTGGTGCGCGTTAATGATACATACGACAGATAACGATAAAGAAATCAGGCGGGCGCGCGCGCGCGCGCGAGAGAGAGATATATACTCATTAGCGAGACGCATTCGCTGATATGTAAGTTCACGCACGAAAAGAAGAAAGACTGAAAGAAAGGAAGAAGGAGAGCGAGTGAAGGGAGAAAAAAAAGAACCGGAGAAATCACACCGCGCGCATGCCGATCGCGTATACACGCGAAACGAACGTATTTATAGCTAATCGTTTAGTTGTACCGCGCATTCGCCCGTTACATAAGTGCTGTTTGTTGAGATAATGCTATGCAAAGCTCGGCGAGATCGGCGGGGATCGCGGAGGATCGCCTTTTCGAGAAAGAGAGATCGATCCGCACTGTGAGAATCCAAACTTCATCGGCCGGTCGTATAATCGCGCTTTAACTATTCCGGGAATCTTCCAGGGATTGCGATAACATTATAATATCCCGTTATCACGGTTAAAAGCAAGAGAGATAGAGAAAGGGGGCGGGAGGAGGAGGGGTGCGGCGCGACGAGAAGTCGAAAAGTGACGTTAACGCGGCGAGTTCGCGCCCGAGGGATATCGTTATCGTTATTAACGCAGACACGCGTTCCCGCGATCGCGCGAATGCCGCGATTAGCGCGAATCGCTTAATTAGCGCGCCGTACGTCCGAACGTGTTCCGTATGGTCGGGCAACATGCTCGGTTCCTCCGTGCGACGGAGCCGCGCAACGCTCGTCCAAAACTCTCCGTGCTACTGTTGAACCCTCGCCGTGTCGAAAGAAGAAAAAAAAAAAAAAGAAACTACCGTATCGCACAATGAGCCTCACATGTAGCGACCGCGTCCAACAATGGAACGGCAGTTTATTCCGAGAGATTCGTCAAGAGAGTCACGCCGCCGCCGCCGTCACCGTCGCGAGCAAACGCCACGTCTCATTAAACTCAATCTCCGTCCGGCAACACTTAATTGCACGTCCAGAATCCCGAAGCAATCGTCCAAATTTCCTTCGCACGCAGGAAGTCATTAGCCGTGACAAAAAGCGCGCTCGCGCAAAAAGTAAGTTGCGAGCAGCGAGTGCACTCCGCGTAGAGGAGTTGACGACGACGGTCGACGAAAGCACCGAAAGATCGATCGATGAGATCAAATTCGGACGATTCGCTAAAATCCGATTCTTAACCAATCGAGAGATGGTCGAGAGTTGCCCGATTCGTACCAGTCACTTAAATCGTATCTCATAATTTGCTCTGTAATTATTGAATAATGCGGCACGGTGGTAAATATAGAAAATAAATGAGCAATGAAATACATAAGCGAAACATCTTATATATGAATATCTTAAAAATGCCTTAAGTTGTAGTAGCAATATGAGTTTCTCAAGAATTCGTTGAAAGTTGCATATATGGATTTAAATGCGATCTAATTATTGACAATTGTAAGTAGATTGATCTCTCGAAAGTTGGGATATTCGCAACTAAAGATGATCACACCTCTTATACATTTGACTTGAGGTCAAATCTCATTTTTAATTTCTACTTTTAACTCTTTCTAAACCACATTTAGGATTTTAATCCTAGAATCCTTTTAGAAAAACTATTGTGGTAGTAAAGACTAATATGGAGACATTGATACACAAATTTCAGAATTACTGACCATTTTCTTTTGAAAATACAGCAGTGTAAAGTCCATAACTTCTAGTAATACTCGAAATACATATATTATGCATATATTTAAACACCTCTCATATACCTTTTTCTATTGCTTGTGCATCTCTACTAAATCAACTAATGCATAAATATAACATTGATAAGAAAAATAAAAGTAACATTTTCGTGCCTACAATATATTGTGTATTCGTGTCTACTTAAACTTTGTTTCAAATTAATATTTATTATTTAGCGAAACGAATGGAACGTAATTTTACTCGATAAACACTAAATTTATCAATAGCCCCTCTTAATGCGCCGCTGAAAATATGACACTCTGCGATACAACTACCTTAAGTAGTACGATCTTGGCAACTCTCTTCTACTCGATACTGCTATTTTTGCTCTGCCATCACATCGGACGATCGTTTGAATTGGACGACGGATTAACGTATGGTCTTCGGACACGAAAAATCAATGACAATTTTCCTCGGCGAGGGGGAGCCTTCGAGGCGTTCGGACGCGATGAACGATGAGCGTTCTCAATGAAAAAGCGCATTAAAGAAGTATCCGGGTTGTTCTTTCTCGATTCGCGCCACGAATTCGCGCGGATAAACATTCCGGCGCGGGCGTTGATATGAACTTCAAGTTCCGCCGCGGTCCGACCGAGCTTTAATGAGACGATCCACTTATAACTTCGCCGGCAAGACTAAAGCAGTCGTGAGAGATCCCGCTGCGAAGATTTCGAGTTGCGCGTGTCTCTCGTGTGTTTCGCGAGATATTACAAAGACGACGACGCTCCGATGAGATTCGGATCTCTCTCTCTCTCTCTCACTTCCGACGAATATCACATTCGATCAAACGGTGTTCTCGTCAGGCTCGCGAACGGAAACGACTCTCCAAAGTGCAATCAGTGTGTTATCACTGTATCATCACTATAATCACTATATATAATCACTGAAAAGCGCAGTCAATAATCACTAGTGGTTACTGTTGCAAGTGTAGCACTGTAAATCAGTCAAATTTCGCTGCGAAAGTCGGCTAATAACAGCGATCGTTTGTACCGGAGAAATTGTATAACTGCAGAAATAATTAGAAGAAAGATATTATTGCTTCTTTTCTTATTATTTTAATCACGTACCTGTGTGATGTCAATAATTTTGCCGAAAATGTTCTCAAGTATTTTTAACCGGCACTACCATTCAGTTACTTAAATCATCTTTCGTCACTTTCTCTGGACAAGTCACGAAAAAATTCACCACCGTCCAAAATGGTTCACTATTTTCCTGAGCTGCCGTTAAATTTATAAAATATCCTATATATTCGAGCTGTCTCTTTTAATAAAACTGCTCGGAAAGCGTACTTGTATCGTTTATACTCTCGGTTTTGCTTTGTTGTAAACTTTTAAACCGTACTATGAAAAGAACTCGCTATATGTTAAGTTATTCAGAGATAAATCTGAAAAAGTAAGAATAAGTATGACTTTCTTGCTGAAATGACCTTAATTACTCTCGCAATTTGACAAGAAATGTCATTTTTGGTCACTGTTTTCACGTCCGAGAAGTCACTTTTTGTCACCTATTCTGGCAAGAAGCAGTCAATCACATTTCACTTTTTTTTGTTCCGGTGACTGGATGGCAGAGCGCTGCTGCTTTAAACTGATTTAATTTATATCGTATTTGCAAAACGCGCTTATCCTGATGGAACTCGATACTCGAAACCTCTGGCTTTTGAGTCTGTTACCATACGAACTACGCCAAGTACGACATATGGTTGAATGCATGTACGTACATATGTACATATTTCTGCTACGGGATGCGTAACAGCGATTTGCAGTGAATCTTTTATACTGTAACAAAAATCAGTCAAGTATAAGGCAACGGAGTGGAGATGTTTCCATTAAAAATTGATGA